TTATCCTAATTATATTTTAGATTTTTTATATTTTAAAATAAAATGTTTATCCTCTATTTGATTATATTTATCCACAATTAGTTATACGAATTCAAAAATCGAACTTTTTGATAAGTTGTACTTTTGCATAATTTACTTGTAATCTTGAATTTTAAGTAAACATTGGTTTTATGTGGTTTTGAGAAAGTGGCAATATTTTTATTTTTGAATAAAATATAAATTTAAAAATATCATAAAATTTTGAAAAAAAAATATCGATATCAATATTAAATTAATCTTTTTAAAAGTTCTTGTGTTTTGGTGTAATTTTCTTAATTTAATTATAATAGTTATCAATGATTATCATAATTATAATTTAGATTTTTTATATTTAAAATAAGATATTTATCCAATATTTGATTATGTTTATTTGGAGTTAGTTAGACGAATTCAAGTATGTAGCTTTAATAAGTTGTACTTATGCATAATTTACTTGTAATCTTAAATTTAAAGTAATATGTATCAATAAACAATACTTCGTGCATAAAAATTGTTTTTAAGAGTTTTTGTCAAATGTTTTATAATATATTATAGATAGTATAAATTATATGTTTTTAAAAAAAAAAAAATTATTTTTGAATAAGATAGTATAGATATAGATTATAGCTTAAAGCATTCAGTCAACATATATCTATATGATTGTTAGTTGTGGTTAATGATATATATATATATATATATATATTACATATATAAAGTGACTTATTTAATAAGCTGTTAGAGAAGGAGATTCATACAGACACGTTTTTTTCAAATCTGCTTCTTCCAAACAAAGTTATTTTAATCTATGAAGACAAATTAGTCTATATACAACTTTATTCATTATAAACTTAACGAAAAATCAACCAAACAGCCCCTCAGTTACTCATTGGGCCGATTCAATCTTTGACCGAAGTATACATCCAATCCTTAACTGGTTTTCTCAGATTGATTTTTTACTGGTTTTTTAATTAGTTCTTAAACAATTTTCAAGATTAGTTCTTAACTAGTTAAGACTCGAAGAACATTGACCGCTCTTAGGCTCAACGGGTTTGCTAGAGCCCCTATTTGATCCTTAAGGGACCGTTCTCGAGCCAGGTTCAATTCAGATTCATATAACAAACATTTTATGTATTTTATTATTTGGTTCTGATTGAACAATCTAAATGTAATAAATTTTATCATAAAAATTTGTTTGTAGTTAGATTGATTCTTCGATAGGTTAAATTAGTAGATTCTGATCAGCGTTTTTCAGTAGTATTATTTATTTTTCGATTACATTATTTAATTTTTAAAAAATAGTTGTTTATTGTTTAAATATTTGTAATGTCTTCAACAAGAATAAAATAATTGAAACTTAGGGGTTGTTTATCAAATACTTACCCGGTACGTATTTACCGGTAAAATTTAACATTATTATTTACTTACCGGGTAAGATTTTAGTCTACCAAAACGACTGCGTATGCAACAATTTACCCGGTAATCGCTTACCGTGGTAAGAGTTGTCGCACTCACTTACCGGGTAAGACTTTTGGTCCTTGTCTCGCTATTACCGGATAATATTATTGGTTCTTACTATATTTATTAAGTAAGGTAATATGACTTTGTAAGCATCTACCCGAATAAACGTTTCGTAAACGACCATCAGTGACGAAAATCAAAGTTAGCAACATTATATCATACAATGAATATTAGTGGGTGATGCAATGAAAGCAAACTTGGATTAAGAACTTGCTTGGAGAAAAAAAAAGGTGTTTTTTTTAATCGAAAGGTATAATAGTTTAAAGGGTAAATTGTATGAAAAAGTAACGTACTTTAATTTGATTCCTATTTTGGGTAACGTACTTTCAAAACTTTCATTTTGGTACCTAAGATGTAAAGTTTTAAACATTTAAGTACCCGGGTAACTGGTTGAAGTATTAACCGGTTATCATACTGATATGGTATCTAACTCGGTATTATTTGTTGACATAGTCAGTGACGTGGATTTTTTTTAATTTAAAATTAGTCTAAAATTAGTCTTCACTGGGTTATCCGGGTCCTTAAATGTTTAAAACTTTACATCTTAGGTACCAAAATAAAAGTTTTGAAAGTACGTTATCCAAAATAGGAATCAAGTTAAAGTACGTTAATTTTTAATGCAATTTGCCCTAGTTTAAATAAGTTATGTCATATTTTATATTTATTTTAAAATGATCCATTATAAGTTTATGTTATGTTTTAGACTAAAAAAATGTAATATTTTTTTAAGGTTTTAACTTCAAATTTTGCTTAGATCACGAAAAAACCTTTTTTAAGATAGAAAATGCCGTTAAAATTAGAAATTATGATAGTCGTTATGAACTTAGAGACTATTTATTAAACACTTACTTGTTAAGTGTTTAATGCATAAATTTCCTAATCGAATGAACATGAGAAGGGCCAAGAATCTTACCGGGTAAGAGCAATGAAAATGATGGAGAGTCTTACCTGGTAAGTGAGGATGACGACTCTTACCCAGGTAAACGCTTACCTAGTAAATTGTTGCATTCGATATGCTTTGATGTACTAAAATCTTATGCATCTAAATAAATTATAGTGTTGACTTTTATTGGTAAACGCTTATCGAATAAGTATTTAGAATACTTGTTGTAAAGTATCGATAAGAATATTATAAACCAAATCAAATTGTATTACTAACTCAGAAAATAGGAAATATTATAACATTTGTTGTTTGAATTTTACCAACAAAAAAGATTGTTATAACGGGTGAGTATCTCGTTAAGGGTATTTGTGGAAAATTACTAGTTACCTTTGACCAACCTCTTTAAAATTACCCGGTGATCCCTAAATAATGGTTCCGTAACCGTTCCCGGTCATGACTCAAATATGTAGGCTCCGGTTAAGGTGTACGAGACCCGAAACCGGTCCCATGTAAAAAAAATCGATTTTTTTATGTAATTCTTTTTGAAGTTTTTTTATGGATTGTTATTCTAATACACTTGAAAATATCTAATTGAGTCAATTATATATACTTAAAAAATACGTTTTTTGCAAAAATTGTAAACGTTTATGAGTTGGTATTTTTCCCCATATATAATGAATAGAGGGTAAACGAAACAAATTAAATATACTTAAAAATTACGTTTTAGTATAATTTTTATAATTGGTTTTCAATCGATTGCACTCGAAAAGTTAGAAATACATTCAAGAATAAATTTGAAAATACATTTTTTTTTGGAAAAATCGGGCCGGACCCATAACCGGTTCCAAACCGGTCCCCTACTGGACGGGGCCTTGTTTTTTTTGACGAAAACCGTAACCAGTTTTTAACCCGCGGTCCTAATCGATCATAAGTCGGTCCCGATTCCAGTCCTCCACCGGTCCCAAGCCAGGTCGGAGTCGGACCCATTTGATAATCTCTACTCCTAACACCTAACGCATGACGAGATTTGTTTCAAATACAAGATTTTCTCTCCTACCTCAAGGTTATTTAACAAAATTATGGACTTTTACATGTTTTTTAAGAGTATAATTTCAAAATGACAATTTATTAAACGTATTTGTTAGACATAACTTCCCTTAATTATTATTTTCTTTTGAAATGATTTCCCTCAATTATTTTAACAAATAGTCAAAAGAATAAATAAATAAAAAGTAAATTTTAAACTGCGTAATCAAAATTTCATGAATATGTCTTGCAAAAAAAATCATTTTATTAACAATGTTCCATTATACTTACAAGAGTTGGGTTCACGTGATACCAAGAGTTTTTTGTGAGACCCGTAAGACCAATTTACGTTTATTGATCAATTTTACAAGCTAATGATCTAATGGTCTAAAGTTGCACGGTGACATTTTTGTGATTATTGAGAAGTCTCGTGACGTTTATAAATGTTCAGATTGTAAATCTAATCCAATGATTGAGAATTAATCTTACAGATCTCACAAAAAACCTTTAATCTCACATGATCTCAAGTCATACTTTATAATTGATTATCTACTAGTTATAAGGATAAAAGATCATATTCACCGTAACAAGGGCTTTTTCAAGCATGACTCGTGTGCATAACGGATAACTTTGACCGACTTTATCCAAGCTTTTTTCTAGCCATAGACCGGCCCATCCTTTAAACTTAGAACAGGGTTATTCCGAAAAAGTTTGAACCGTGTCTTTAAACATAAAAAAGAACTTGGTCTAATCGAACTTTTTGACTTGGACCTAGGCGCGGGCTTATTACGACCTGGCTCGGGTCTAAGTTTGTTGCGGTTGTGTCTCTCTAGTTTATCCTACGACAATGTCTACCTTTAAATTGTGCTCATCTCTCTTAACTCTTAAACAACCATCATCATAGAGAGACCTACAACCATGTGTTGAGGGTCAATACTCGATAACCCCATAAATTTTCAAAGAGTCTTTTTTCTACATTATAATTTTACAAGTATATTTCCTCTTTTGACCCCCAAAATCTTATAAATTTAAACTCCAACCTTCGATATCAAAGTTCTTGCATAAACTACTAACCATCATTAAACGAATCAACCCTAAAACACAACGACATTGACAAATCCCTACAAATTTATCCATTTACGTCGATATTTTGTCTCTACCCGTTCAACTAACAATAACCAAGTATATAAGATTTAAACTTAGAGACATCTAACCACAAGGGTGGTGCCTGATTGATTTGAGCTTGGCTCCAAAAGTCAAAAGTACCAGGAGGTCACAGGTTCAAATCCAAGGAAGAATAAAAATCCCCTTTGTGGCCACGGAGGTTCAAATGCGGTGACTCTGGGTTATCTGCAAAGCAGGTGGTCGCCCTGGGATTAGTCGGCTCGCATAGCGGGTTGGATATCCAGGTTAATAAAAAAAACTTAGAGACATGTAAATCCTAGCCACTTAGAACTTCGGCCACAATAATCCTATATCTTTTTTCTTTGAAGTATATAATATACAACACATAAACACACACACACACGCTCTACTCACCTTTAGTGAGGTTTGAACTTTGAAGCTCTGGCGCGCTAAGAGATCAAAAACCCAGGTGCCGCTAGACCGTTTGGTGCGATAACCCTATATTCTGGAAAATGAAACAATAAAAAGAGTGGACAAATATCGTATCCTTCAATTAATAATAAATATAAATAGAAAGCACATACAATAAAAATGAACCCAGAATCCCACATGGAATGTGTCATTAAATATGATGGAAAAAACTGTACATGGAAAGATCCCAAGATTACTAGTTAAAGGGAGAATCTCTTTGTATAAACATCAAATGGTTCACTGGCTGTAAGTTGTGGTTCCTGCAATAACAAACACAACGTAATTATTCTTCAATTTCAAATAATAATTAATACTCAGATGTTACAATTCTTAGTGAGGAATTATCTATAATCGACTTTCAGAATTGATATGAATTCTTTTTCGAACTTATGTTCTATTCACAATAACCCTTGCAAGAAAAGCCTGCCACTGGAATCGCCAATATTTTTTTTTTATTAACCTGGATATCCAACCCGCTATGCGAGCCGACTAATCCCAGGAGGACCACCTGCTTTGCAGATAGCCTGGAGTCATTCCTCCTTGGATTTGAACCTGGGACCTCCTGATACTTTTGACCTTTGACAAGCTCAAACCAATCAAGCACCACCCTTGTGGTTTACCAATATTATAATCTACAAGTGTTGAAAGTCAAGTGTCTACTAGATTTGGACCTATTTTCTTATCTTATATGATATTAGAGCTAAGATCTATCATTTGGGGTATTTATACCCGTCTAGCCTCCGTTGGAGGGAACGTGTTAGAATCCGACATCAGCTAGACTTTGACCTATTTTGCTCGATATATGTTGGAATCTCATTTCTCTCCTGAAATGCTTTTTTGGAGACTAATCTGATGGGGTTCCACGTATTCTTTGTTAGCAAAATGCAAGTGTACCTCTTTTGTAATCAACAACCACCTATTACTCCTTTCACCCCAAACCGAAATATTTGACTTACTAGGTAGCTAGCTTAATAAAAATGTGGAACTATAAATATTGTCTGATGCAAAACAAGATAACCTTAACAATTAGCAGGGGAATATAGATCAAGCATTGTGCACAGTTAGAAAAGTTCATGACGGTTAAAAGATTTTAAGCTATGAAGAAAATACCTGTCTCAAACCACCGCCAAGGCTTCCTCCGCTTAAAAGCATACCAAGGAGAGAGGTCACAGCACCACCGCTACCACCACCCGTATCACTTTCATTTCTACGAATGGTGGTTCTCATTGAGGTCAGCATATCACCATAAGTAGTTGCATGCCCACGCTCAATTGCTTGTATGAATGAAAATGTCATAGCTCCAGTTGAAGTCACCTTCGACAGAGACTGCATATATGCATTCATAACATTAGAACATATGAATTTAGTGCAAGAATATGTGGAATTCCATTAGATTACTCTCCAAAAGAGCCCTTATGGAGATGAGAGGTTCCAACATATATTGAAGCAGAAAGGTCCTAGTCTAACCGAAGTGGGACTCCAACAATCCCCCCCCCCCCCC